AAAATTTTTAATTTAATCAATAATTTTATAATTCAGAGTGGTATTCAATGAAAAAAATGTGTTGGATTGAGTACCGATGGTACTTGCTCAATGGCAGGTTCCCATACAGGAGTTTTCCAGAGGATCTGAGCAGTGGTACCAGACTGTGAATGGGTGCATTGTAGCATTCAAAGAGAGGCATTAGCTGTGAAGAAAATGCCCTTACTTTTGAATTCAACTATGCAAGAATGTGTTAAATTCATAAAATATATATAATCTCGTTCATTGAATTCCAGAATCTTTACTGCTTTGCGCAAAGAATTAGGAAGTGAACACGAGCATCTCCTATTACACTGTGAAGTTTGGTGGTTATCAAAAGAAAATGTCTTAAAAAGACTCATCGAAATGAAGAATGAAGTTAACTTGTTTTTGGAGCAACATCCCCCCATCAGCAAATGATGCAATATTTGAATTTAGAGACAGGTTTCATAATTTGCATTGGTTAATTAAAGTGGCCTATTTATGTGACCTTTTTGGCTTCTTAAATGTGTTAAATCTAAATTTACATGGTGCTAACATAAATATTTTTAAAGTCCAGGAAAAGATGCAGCTATAAAAAAAATTAACTTGTGGGTACATCAAATTGAGAAGAGAAATTACAAGTCTTTCTCTACTTAAACAGAATTACAAAACCAAGATGAAGAAGGTAATATTCCAGATGAGATTTCCTCATCAATCAAAGAGCATCTTTTGGGGCTAAAATCATGCTTGAAGGAATATTTTCCTCCAATTGACAGCAGTAAAATGTGGATCAGGAACCCTTTTACTGTTGACATAGAAAATGAGGAAGGATTACAACTCTGTGAATCAGAAATTGATTCTATTATTGGACTGTCCTTTGACACCACACTGAAATACCATTTTAGTCAAGTCTCATTAATTAATTTTTGGCTAACCTGTTGTGTTGAGTATCCAAATTTATCAGAAAAAGTAGTGAGATTTCTTATGCCCTTTGTTATAAATGCAAATCAGGCTTCTCAACGTTGATTTTCATAAAAAACAACTACAGAAACATATTAGATGTCAAGCAAGATTTGAGAATCAAAACTGATTTCTTATTGCTCTTGATTTGAAGTTGCTGTGTGATGAAAAACATCATCATCCTTCCCATTAGGCAAGTTTATTTCTTAAAAGAGCATTAATAAATATACAGTTAATGTGAAGATTAAATTACAATGAAGTATAATTTCTTTTATTTCTTTTTACACCATAGGAATATAAAACACCTGTATATATTATAATCGATGTATTGATAGAACTATTGCTTCCACTTTGATGTTAGACTTGGCAGGTTATCTAACTAGGTATTGAGGAGGCCCGGGCCTCATGAAAAATTACAAAAATAAACCAATCCCTAGTTGGAAAAGTTTGGGAAATGCTGGTCTAAAGTATTATAAAATGTTTATGTTATGACTTTGTAGAAAGTCTGCAGACCAATCCAATAAGTCAGTAAGCGGATGTATTGTACAGAAACTATTTCAATTCCAGCTCCGAGAACACAGCATAGTAGTGTTTGACGGTTTCTTACAGTACAGTTGTTCCAACAAGAATTGTCTAATGTACATTATAATAGTGAAAGAAAATACATATGATATGGCTTTGTACAAAGTACACAGTTGTATTCAACCCAATAAAAATATGTATTAGGATGCTAGTTATCTTCTTGGGTGGTCAAAATTTAGTGATGGTATAGGTGCAAATGCTTATGAACATTTTGTTTCCTACATTACCATGCTTACATAGTAACCAGTAAATGTGTAGTTTTGAGCAATATAAATATGGGTAGCTTTGATTTGTCTAGTATTCTTGGCTTAGCCTTCTTGATTGTAACTTTAAATACAAATTATTTACCAGCAAATTGCAAGTTCAACTGGGTGTCTACAAAGTATTACATACTAGCAAGTAAACTTGGCTACCATACATTACATGTGTGTGTTTATATATATATATATATGTATATTATAATAAATACTTAAATGTCAGTTACCTTTCTTCAAACATAGAACAGTAAATAAATAAATATTCAGAAAACAATGATATTTATTACTTACGATGCTATGAATTCCTTGTTTGCACTTGTGAGCCATACTTGCTAAGCCTCATCAAAATTCGCATGTGGAGATGGAAAAATTATAATTTTTGTAGACTTTATATAAGCATTTTGGAATACAAAAAAATATAAATTACTATACTAATACACCAAACATCCATTGTAATTT